TGGAGGTATCCTGATCCAAGGGCCCCAGGTCTCCAGCCAGGTTCTGGGTTCACAAGAGAAACCATCAAGCCAAAACAGAGCCCTTGTCCTTTAACAATGGGACAGCTCAGCACACGGTCAGAGCAGGACCTCATGCACCAGGAACAAGAAAGGATTGAGTGTCAAAACTGGAGCACCATACCAATCGCAGTGAATGGCACATAACCACACACCCCAGCCAGGGGGAAGAACAACGAGACAGCGGTCGGTATGAGACATGGAAATCATTGACAATCTATAATCTATCAGGGGGCCACGAGAGGGGGCGTGCCGAGGGAGGTGGGGGGAAAGCTGATTCCAAAGAGCTCAATGGAAAGTAAATGTCTAGAAAAGAATGATGGAAAATATGTATGAATATGTTGGATACAATTGATGTATGGTTTCTAACAGAAGTTGTAAGAGCCCCCAATAAAATGATTTTTTTTAAAAACAAACAAACTGGAGCGCCAGTGTGAGGTGACAGCCCCGATTGAATTTGGCAGGACTTCTCATCCCTGAAGGCAAAAGGAAAGGACAATCAGTGTTAGCATCATATTCCATGGAATAGGAACGCTGGTTCTCCAGTGCAGAAAGACTATGAACTCTCTCTAGTGCATCTCACCGATGGTGTGATGTAGTGAAATGAACAAGCAAAGGTTCATCTCTACTCCAGCCTCCTTCACTCTGCGCTGATGAACACCACCCACCCTGGTGGGCTTGTCCTTCCTCTGCTACCCTCCCCACTCTCAGGTACCGACTGAAGGACCCACTGGGCTGACAGAGAGAACTAACCATGCAGCCTGGGATGATACTTTGGAGAGATGGGGAAAAGGTATAGAAGGAGTGGCTGGGACGAGGCTGCACCCAGCCATCCAGGAAGGCTGTGGCACCTTCCCAGCAGGGGTGGGCCCCATTTCTTTAGGGCAGGACCTCGCTCACCTCATTTAGGTTCCAGGTCTTCACAGCGAGTTTTCATCTGGAGGATGCTCGGGGAAGAGGGAGTTGCTATTTTGGATTCTCTTTTAAACTCGCACCTTTGGGAATGCAGCGCGCTGGGATCATTGGATGAGGATGGTTGGCAATCAAGATGAATAAGGCAGACATAGCAATGTCAGCAATCTCATCTCCCTCTTTCTCAACAGGCAAAGGAGAGCAATTCTAAGGACAAAAAAGGCAATGCAGGTAAGTTGCCATTTTGAGGATGTTTGGCCACCAAATGGGTGCTTTTTTGTATGGAAATTCTAAAATAGAAGACATAGGAGGTAGAGCAGAGCTCAACCTCCTTGTTTATCAACTGTGAAAACACTCTTGGGAAGATGAGAAGGCTGAACTGGGACCAGATCCCAGGTCTCCTGAGTCCACTTCAGTGCTGAAATTGACCTCTTGGCTCTGGTCCCACATCCACAATCTGAAAGTAGAAACAGCACAGTAAAAATAGGAACACCCTAGGGGAACAAGCCCAACTTTAAATGGGGTGTGTGCAGAGACCTGGCTTCAGGCTCCACAACTCAGTTTACAAGGCTTGGATAGAGCTGGTTTGGCAGAGGTTCAAATAGAAGACACTTGACATTTGAAATGACCACAAACTCTAGTCAAGCCACCTGTAGGCCTTGGCCTAAAAGCAGCAATGAACCAAGCAGCCCAGGTGATTTCAGGTGACACTGAGGCAAAAGGAAAGTGAGCGCCAGACCAGTTCCCCTGGCCATGGATGGTTATCATTTTCATTGAGGACTAATCCTACGGGGGGAGGCAATATGACCCTTATTTTTCAGAAGGTGAAACAGAGGTGAAGTGACTTCCCCACGGTGACACAGTGGGGCTAGAGGCCCCTCTCAGACAGTTTAACTCCAGAGCCTGGCAGTACAAAAAAAAAAAAAGATAGCCTCATCTCATAATAGCCACAATACACCCAAGCAGCGAACGTGATCATGGAGTTAGAACATTTTGGGTTATTGTTAGTCGGGTGAAGTTTTACAGAGCAGGTCAGGTTACCATTCAGCAATTGCTACACATTTTGTGTCTGCTCGTTCATTGCCAGCCCCCAGTCCCACGTCACTTATTTCACTTCCTCTTTGGATTTCCTGTTTCCAGACCTCCTTTTCCAGAACCATTATGAACTTCGTCCATGAGTAAACGCTGCCCTTTCTGTCTCAAATGGTTGACGATTCTAAGGGGTGTGTAGCTCACTGGTGTGATTTCCCCCCTTCTAAATCTGTCTGTGGTTTGGCTGAAACTTGAGCCAAGATGGTGAGTTTAGTTTCAGGCATGAGGGATGACTAAGAGCCCATTGTCTCAGGGGGTCCAGTCTCTATTCCACCAATAAACCAAGTCTTTTGGATGGTTTTGGGTTTTCTTTCACAATTTTCTCACGCCCTGTCCAGAACCTCCCCATTGTGATCCCTGTCAAGCAGTTGGTCATGGTAGCCATGTCCCATGTAGTTCGTTTGGTCTTAGAGTCCTGGTCTTAGGGCCGTTCTCGTGATGCATTCGCCCAGTAGGCCAAGAGTTGCCACGGGTCTTCGACTTCCATCACTCTTCCTTCCTCCAGACAACGAGAGACCACCTCACGTGGCCAAATATAAGATTTTAGGGCCTCATTTGCTATTCATCAAAGTAGAATGTAGAACATTGCCTTTATAGACTACATTGTGACAATTGGTCTTGGTGTCCCCAGAGACCATGGTACTGAGACCCCCAGACCCAGGGTCTCACTCCCTCTAGGTGTTTGGTTATCGCTAACTCTGTCCCCTGTGTGCCTCTCCACATTTGCCCCTCTACTTTTTGTTTCCTTATATACGGTTGCTGTGAGTCAGAGCTGACACCACGACTACCAACAACAACAAGCTCATGTGACTTGGTGCAAGCATTTCTGAACTTCCTATTGCTCAGTTAAGGATAGCCTACTGCTTATGTCCCTAAACAGAGTATGATTCCAGAGAGGATGTAACTACAAGCTTTGTCATCAATTCATCTTGGGTGTGTTCTTGGCAAGTTGGGTGACTGGACAAATGAGCTACATTCTCTGAGCTGAATGTAATGGATTTTTAGATATACAAGTCACCATGTTGCCCAGTCCAAAGGATGCCTTTCACTGGAAGTCTATGAGAGTGGTGTCCCCAGATGTCGCACAAAGCCCAGTTTGCAAGCCCATACTGGTGACATGACAGCAAGGTTTGACCAGTCCTCTGTTTTAAAAGTCCGTGAGGCAAAGGGAGAGACAAATCTTGTTTTTGCTTCTTCTTGTGCCGGCAGCCATGAGATGTTTAACACTGATGTTATCCACTGATAACCCACAGAGGCAAAGTCAGACCAGATGGCGGTGAATATCGAAGATGGCCCCAAGAAGAAAAAAGACAAAATGTTCAAGAAGAAACTCAAAGAGGACGACATCCCCAACCTGGCTGTTCTGCAGGTGCGTGAACAAAGCCTTGTTGCCATGAGCGGGGAGACAACTCAAAGCTGGGGTTCTGCTAGGGCTTTGGTCGACTCCACTGGTAGGTGCCAGGGAGTGGATTCTGACCCCATGTGACAGAATAGAATTTCCCCCAGAGACTGAATGGATAGCCTTTGGGATAGCAATCATGTTTCGTCATGCCTTTGTTTGAACAATCTTACTTTACGTTGTATCCACGGTCATCACCGATGCAGAGAGACCCACGGCGATAAGACAAGCACGTCAGTAAAGACCACGGCGCTTGCTAGCTTTCACTTCTCACATCTTCATCTTGTGAGAGATGTGTAATTGTCTAGCGTAACGCCGGTGGGACTTACAGTCTTTGTGTTCTCACTGGCTCACCTTTCTGAGCCTGACATCTCCATGCAAGTGTGGAGTGTTCCAAACAGCGGCAGCTTCAACTCTAAGTGGGTCTGTCAAGCCAGTCTTACCATTGCCAGGAGCCACTGGCTGAAGGCATATTGACGATGTGTAAATAAAGAGTTTGAAAATTATGAAAGCAATTTGGGTAGGTCGTTTGGATAGAAACCTTGAAGAAGTAATTTAATTCTATTATCAAACCTAAAACTCAATTTGACTTTCCATTTCTTCAGTGGACATATAATTTCCCACTTGGAAAATTCATGTCTATACACATTGTAATAAAAAACACATATTCTAACACTTTATATGTATTCATAATTAGATGTTTAATGAATATTTTTAATTTTAATTTCCTAAACATATTATAGCCTATAGTCCATAGCTAATGACATTAATTAGCTATAAAGGGACTAGTCATATATCTATCTATATTGTATCTTTAATGTTTTGGTTAAATTATCTAAGGAGACTTAAAAATGTTCATGGAAAAATTGCATTATCTTTTCAATTAAATTTTTCCATAAACTTCTTGAAGCCTCCTGGTACTTCTTGGGACTTCAGAGCTCATCAAAGTTTTTCTAAAGTTCAGCGTATTCTTGGAATAGTGAACCAAACATATTTCTTTCCTTGCTAAAGATAAGTGAGCCCATGGGTCATGAGGTGTTTCCCAAAGGGATCCATAGGGAGGTTAGTTTGAGATGATCTTGCTTTCTTAGCACAATCCTCTCCCTTTTATCTAAAGATCTACGATGGTGATCTGGAGAGTGAATTTAACAATTTTGAAGACTGGGTGAAAACCTTTGAGCTCTTTAGAGGCAAGTCTACGGAAGACGACCATGGCCTTGATGGAGACCGAGTCATAGGAAAGTTCAAGGTAGGCTCTGAGTCTAGCCCGTTCCTTTGGCTCTTCCTGCCCATCAATGTCAGGCACACCTCTGCTCTGTCAGTGGGACAGTGTCAGGAAATGTCTTCATCTTTACTCGAGACCTGCTCTAGAACCCCACAAGAGCAAGCCCCAACCTTTTGAGTCATTTTCTTCTGAGGCCAGTGAAATGGCTTGGACCCCAGTCTGGTGGGATACAAGGCTCTAGATTTGTTCCTTGAAAGGAGCATTGGATTGTACTTTGCTCTTCCCACGCAGACTGACCCTTATCTCCAAGCCTGATAGACCAGATGTATAATTTATGCAAACCCATCTATTGGACAATTACGCTAATCAAACAACACATGCTCTTCTTTTCAGACATGTGGTGTTGGTATCAAAAAGTAGTAGCATTCATCTAAGCATTAATAATAACATAAGCTCACTTTATAGTTCAGGAGCCTGCTGGTGTAGTGGTTACACATTAGGCTGCAATCCACATGGTCGGCAGTTTGAAACCACCAGAAGCTCTGCAGGAGGAAGACTGGGCTTTCTACTCCCATAAAGTTAGTCTTGGAAGCCCACAGCGGGGTTGCTTTGAGTCAGCATTGACTTCATGGTACAGAGGTCGTTATGTCCCAGGATCCTTTATATGTGCTGTTGTTGTTGTTATTGTTAGGGGCCACGGAGTCAGTTCCAACTCATAGCAACCCTGCCCTGCCCCATCCTCAGAAATATTCTTATGAGCCCATTGGTGCAGCCACAGGGTCCATCCATTGGAAGGGACTTCCTCTTTTTCTCTGCCCACCCCCCTTTTTTTTTTTACCAAGAATGATGTCATTCTCTTGGGACTGGTCTCTCCTGACATGTCCAAAATACGTGAGACAAAAATCTTGTCATCTTTGCCTCAAAGGAGCATTCCAGTTGTCCTTGTTCCAAGGCATATTTATTAGTTCGAAATAGTGTTGCGTTTTTGCCAACCTGGATTTAAATCCTAATTATAATACTTTCTAACTGCATGACCTTGAATGGTGTGCTTAACTTTCTCAACCCTCCATGGCTGTATCTGGAAATAGGACCACTGGGGTCAGGGTTGAGTGAAGTAATGAAGGGAAGCACTAGCCAAGCACTAGCCTAGCGCCCTGTGTGTAAAGGGATGACGCTGACCTTCCTGTGAGGAAGGTGTTCATGGACTGTCATGGAGAAGCTCAGGTGCAAACAGGCTCTGGGATGGGCTGGAGGCTATGCAGGCAGCCAGTGTAGCAACAGCCCAGATCCTGCTGGCAAGCACCCAGCCGGTGCTCATTCTCCCACTAAGGATTTTGGTGACACTTGGGAGCATCCTGCTCAAATCTGTGTCCTTTTTGTCCCAGGGTTCCTTCTGCATCTACAAAAGCCCTGAGGATTCCAACGCGGAGGACAACGGGCAGCTAAGAATCCAGCAAGGGATCCCGCCCAACTATCCAGTCAAAGTTCTGATCCGGGTGTACATCGTGGCGGTGAGTCATCCCTGTCTGCTCTGAGGAGCAGGGAGTTGGGTCAACCACAAGGACACATTTCTGGCTTGTCACCAGGCCGGCAGGGAAGAGACCTCCTGGGCACCTGGGCGGACCCGTGGAGCTTTCTCCGTTCTCTGTGGGTGCCCGCCCGTGAGGCAAGAAACCAAGAAGGATTGAAGTTGGCAGCCCACCGGCCAGGCAGTTAGAGAAAAGAGTCAGGGAAGAACACCGCATTTGCCACTGTGAACGTCCTTCTCAGCCATCCCTCTGCCCTGGTATAGTCAGAAATGTCCTTTTAAATATATTTCCAAGAAAAACTTGATCTCCCCTAGGATTTTCCCTTCAGATCCTGAGAGAAGGCAATTTAATTGTAGAACTTGTTGACCTGGTTACCAGGAAGCTCAGGATCAAATTTGATGATCCATTGAGGCAATTGTGTGAAACTTTATGGTTCAGGTGTTTGCGCCCATCTCCAATCATTAGGCTCGATTTTCATAGCCTTCTATCATTGTAGCGAAATTGCTTTTACATAAACCCTTTGCTTAAGTGCCCTTCGTAAACTGAATATAAAATACAGATGAATCATCCTTTAAATGCCAAGGGAGAGCCAGCTGCTCTTCAATCAAGCAGTGCTCCTTTGCCCTCCTCACGATCTGCATCCCCATGCCCGCCGCCATGTGCCCGGTGTCTTCGGCTCACCAGGCCTGTAGGAGGAAAGACCGCAGGCTCTGCTGCAGTCGACTTGGAAAGGTTAGACGGATTTGTCAGACGCGTCGACAGGGCCAGGTCCTCTATTACTGAGCACCGTCCACATGATCATGCAGCCTTTTCCAAGGTTTCGTTATGAGGTAGCTCGTGTTTGAGAAGATCACTCATAGACATTCCCGAGGGCAACGCTGGGAAAGACTGGGTGTGCAAAAGATGTTAGTGCACACTATCCATTTCCGTTCTCCAGCCCCTGAGATCCACAGAGTTCATCAGCACAGGCCAGGGGCTGAGAAGCCTTGGGGTTGAAGACCACGTTCACCGTTGGACTCTCAGAGGCACTTTCTAAACATATTGCCCACAGCGTTTGCCCCTGCTCAGGGAGAACCTCTGAGAATGAAGGCTCTTGGGGTAGAGTTTCGGGAACCCTGAAATGGAGAGAGGGGGAAGAGGAAGAGGCAGGAGGAATAGCCTTGGCCTGCAGAGCTGGGAGAAGACTCTGTCCTCTACTTCACGATCCTGTCACCAAGAATCGACTGCACACCTCCAGACAAGCACAGGGCTGCAGCTCAGGCTCCTGGCCCCGAGGCAGTGTGGAGGAGAGACGGCGTGGGTTGGGATTCGGGGCCGGTGGGACTGGAACACCTGGGGGCTTAGTGGACATAGCTCATGGGGGTGCAGGACAAACTTACTGCTGTCACAGCAGCCAGCGTTTCCCAGCGACATTTCCAGAAGTGGGGTGATGTGTAGCTTATGCCTTCATGCTAAAGTTTAACTCCCCCAGTGGCAAGTTAAAATTAAAAACACCCCAAAGGTAAATAAAACAAAATACTCCTTAAAAGTTGCATAAGGAGGGGGAAAAAATGAAACTGCCTCACTTATGCAATCCGACCACAGATGGCTAAGTTTCCCTGCCCATGCCAGGAGGTCCCTGAAAGCAGATATGAAAATGAACAGCAAAACTCACCATCCACAGCAACCCTCTAGGCCAAGGTAGAACTGCCCTGTGGGTTTCCAAGAATGAAACTCTTTACAGGAGTAGGGAGCCTCCTCTTCCTTCCTCGGAGCAGCTGGTGGTCTCCAACCGCTGGCCTGGCGCTTAGCTGCCCAACAAGTAACCTCTACGCCACCAGGGCCCCTTGAAAATAAGGAAAGACAGCAATAAATAAATGGATGGTGATCAGAGAGAACCCCATGTGCAGAGGAGTAGAGTGGGGTGATGTGATAGAGGGCACAGGAGGGCTCTGGGAACTACTTTCTCCCCAGGTCATTGACCTACGGGCCACTCGCAGGTTTTGGCTCTGAACGAACCATGCGCGACTGAGCATCCTTCAGGCTTGAGCTCCAGAGGATTCTACCTTCCTCTCTGCAGCAAAGAGTCCTAGGAATGAGGCCACTTGTCACTCAGCTCAATTTCTGCAGCGTGTCCATCTTTTTTATACCACCCCTCGCCTGCCCTTCCCTTGTCTTTCCTTCTAGCGTGTTGCTTTGTATGGGTGGTCTAAGGCTAATCTGTCATCACAGGTCACCCTCCGAAGCAGGCCATCAATAAACCCTCTCATTCAAAAACTCACTGCCAAGGAGTTGGCTCTGATTCTCAGCAACCCTATAGCACAGAGAAGAACTGTCCTTATGCGTGTCTGAGGGTTATGTGTGTATTTAAGGTAAGGTGACCAGATTTTTACATTGGTAAAGCGGGACACCATTGATAAAACTCATATCCTGGTGAAGTAACCACATGGCAACCAAAAACTGTATACCCTAGCTTGTCATGCATTCTTTCCAAAAATCAGGGCTTTTTAAAAATGCTGCGGGAGGGGGGGAAAATTGTTAAAAATCGGGACTGTCCCACCAAAAGCGGGACGTCTGGTCATCTTAATTTAAGGGAGCAGACCATCTCATCTTACTCCGGTGGCTTTGAACTGCTGACCTTGTAGTTAGCAGCTCAATACATAGTCTGTAATGCCACCAGGACTCCCTTATCACTCAGCTGGTCAATGCTAATTGCAAGATTCATAGGGTCCTGGATTCAGAGACCTCCGTTTTAGGGAGGAGGCTTCAAGGTCGATGCTGTGGTTTCACAGATAAGTCGAGAGCAGGGCAAGACTTTCGCAGGAACCCTCGACTAGTCAGAGCGGGAGCTAGAACTCACGGTCACGCCTCCCAGGGCTCCTCCTTACTCTGTGCGAGAGCCGCTTTCCACTGGGGAGACGACGCCACAGCAAGTGGAATTTGGACAAAGCTGACATCTTTGACAGCAGTGGTTCTTAACCCGAACTGCCCATTGGAACCATCTTTAAAAAGCCCTTGATGCAAGGCCAATTCCATGAGACAGTCTTGAAACCAGAAGGAGCCCTGGTGGTGCAGTGGGTTAAGTGTTGGGCTGCTAACCACGGGTTGGTGGTTCAAAGCCACCAGCTAGCCCACAGCAGAAAGACGAGGCTGTCTGCTCCCATGAAGATGTACAGCCTTGGAAACTCAAGGGAGCAGCTCTCATCTGTCCTATAAGTTCACTATGGATTGGAATCCACCGGATGGCAGAGAGGTTTTATGACCTGGGTACCAAACTCAGGTGTTCCAGCATTTCTTTAAAGCATCTAGTTGATCCCAATGTGCCGACAGCACGGACGAACCGTTGTGCACTAAAAGGAGTGTCCCTCTTCCCCTCTCACAGGCATTTAACCTTAGCCCCGCCGATCCAGATGGGAAGTCGGATCCCTACATTGTGGTCAGGCTTGGCAAAACTGAAATCAAAGACCGGGACAAATACATCCCCAAACAACTGAACCCAGTATTTGGAAGGTCAGTGCAAGGTCATCGGGACCGCATGGTATCATCCTTTCTGTGTTTGCTGTTGCTGTCCTGGTTCTGGGGGCTCATGCGGCAGGTGTGTGTGTGTGTGTGTGTGTGTGGTGGGGGGGAGGGTCCGAGGCTGACTTGGTTATCAGTAACAGCAACCTAACCTGCATTCTTGGAGGAGGGCCAGATTCTTGCCTTGGCCCCTCAGGATTGTGTGTAAGCCCATTCCTGGAGAGACTGTCAGCGCATCTCAGGATCTCATGGAGAGTCTGCCTCGTTTGTTCACTGACCTTCTCCTTGATGGAATGTGATGCCCTTCTCCGGGGACTGGTCCTTCCTGGTAAGGTGACAAAAGTACGTGAGATGAAGTCTCCCCATCCCTGCTTCTGCAGAACATTCTGGGCAATGTCTCCAGGGCATATTTGTTGGTTCTTCTGGCAGACCACGGTTCTTGCCATACTCCCCACCAACACCGTCATTCAAAGGCAACAGCTTTTCCTTGCCGTTCCTTATTCACTGTCCAGCATTCGGGTGCAGGTGGAAAACATGCTGGCTTGGGCCAGGCATGCCTTAGTCCTCAAAATGGCATCTTTGCTCTGTAAAGAGGTCTTTTGCAGTAGACATGACCGATGCAAGCCACTGTTCGGTGTCTTCACGGCTGCTTCTGTGAGTGCTCATTGGTGGATCCCAGAAAGAGGAGATCCTTGACCACGCTGATGGTTTCTGTGCTTCTCCTGAGGTTGCTTATTGGTCCAGGGGTGAACATTGGTCCTTTTCTCTAGATTGAAGTGTCCTCTAGATTGAAGGCCATCCTCTTTGCACTACATCAATAAGTGTTCTTTGCAGCTGTTTAGTAAGCACGGTTGTGTTGCCTTAAAAGTATTTAATTTCTTTTTTGCCCGAGTCTCTAGAAGCAGGAGAGGAAAGTGCCATCAGAGTCTCATCTAAATTCATTTCCATGTTTGTGATCGCTTCGGACCACTGACACTTGAGCAGTACCAGCATCTTACATTTTATTGCTCCCGAGGAAATGAAGCAATAAATGATCTCGCCTGTTCAAATTAATGAGAGCGATTAAAATGATAGTGCCGGGGAAACTGTACCCGGAGATGACCTTTCTCATTACCTGCCATTTATGTAACCAGCACTTATTCTGCCAGGTGCTTAGCTATTTTTACCACAGTGACATGACTTTGACTGGTTTTCTTGCCCCCGTTTTATGGCCATGGGGAACAAAGAAGAGGATGGGACCTTCCCTCCTGCTCTGGATTTGCAGGGTTTCTTCCAGAAGCCCCCATCGGTGTACACTTGGTTGGATGTGTATGTAATAGTCACTGGGGAAGAAAGTTGCTTCCTAAATCCCTCAGAAGGAGTGTTGGTGGTACAGTAGGTTAAGCACTGGACTCCTAACCACAAGGTCAATGGTTCAAACTCATCAGCCCCTACTCCAGAGAAAGATAAGGCTGCCTGCTCCTGTAAGGGTTTACAGTCTCAGAAAGTCCATGGGGCAGTTTATGAATCATGATCGAGTAGGCAGTGTTGGGTTTGGTCTTGGGGAGGTTTCAATTCTGCAGCGTTTCAGAAGGGTACGGTGGGGATGGGGGTCTCTTGGAGCGGACCTGGGGTCTGGGAAATCTCTGTGAGGATCTCACTTCCTCAACACTCCCATGAGGACACCATGGGTGACACCCTCTTATGCTCTGGGTCCTTACTTTGCTTGACTTTTCCTCCTGTGTCTGGTAGGTGTTTCTGTGCTTATTGTCGGTCTCTCTGTCCCCAGTGGAACAGACTCTCCCGTAGGGAGGAGTCCTCAGCACCAAGGACAGAGCCTGGCACAGCATGGGTGCTCAATCAGTGTTTGTTGAAGGAATAAATGAGGTCAGTTGTCAGTGGGATGTAATGAAACCCCAGCCCCCTCTGGCATCCTGAGTTGGTACACAGTCTTGGCAGTTCCTTGCAACTCTTGTGATTTCCCAGAATCCCTTTATTTTCATTCCCTTGAGAGTCGATCATGATGAAAAGCAGTGAGATCCAGGGGCCTGGTCTCTGGATTATGGAAGTAGCCCTGTGGCTCACCTTGCTCCTGCATACCTGCCAGCCTTTGTCCTCCTTGTTCCCCTGCTGTGACCCCGCCTTCCTTACTGTGCTCACCTGGAGAGCTTTATTCCTTCCGCTCAGTGATTGGGATCCTGGGACGTGGTGATGACTAGCCGCAGTCCAGACTTCAAGGATACTATGGAGACAGAAGTGAACATCTACTAAACGGGCAGTGGGGACAGAATGTGGCGGGTGCCCTGAGAACATAAAGGAGGGCACCCGGTGTCTGAGGTGGGGAAGATGGGTTCTCAGAGAACCGCATGCGCAGAGTCTGGCGGGGAGAGAAGGCATGATGGGGCAGGGGCTGAGGGTCCTATGCAGAGGCTTGTTTCTGCCAGTCAGGCAGTCTTGCAGATACTGTCACAGTAGAGTGGGAGTGTGACAGTACAGGTGTCACACTCCTGCTTCCGTGGAACCCACAAGCCCATGGAGGAGGCAGGCGCTAACCCCAAACGGTTGCCATCAAGCTTTTCCTGGCTCATGAGGACCCCGTGTGCATTAGAGTCGAACTGCGTGTGTTCCATTGGGTTTCCCAGGGCTGAGTTTTCCAAAGTAGGTCACCAGACCTTTCTTCCGAGGGGCTTCTGAGTGGGCTCAAACCGCCAACCTTATAGTTAGCAGCCAGGTGTGTGAGCGAGTATCTAAAAGGAGATGGAATATAAAATTGCTTGTGTGGCGAACACTGCATAGATGAGGTCCCCCGACTCTGTGGAATGGGGAGCTCACTTTGGCTGGAATCAGATGGTCAGTCAGAGTTCCCACTCGTGTGAACTGCCTTGCTATCAGACAGAATGGATTGATGAGAGGATGAATAAAGATGTTGTTAGATAAAAATCAGCACCTTCTCACTTGGGAGAAAGGAGACCTTTGGACCCATTTTGAATTTGTCCTGGTTTTTTTTATTATTTTCTGCTTTCTTTTCAATTGAGATTTTCCTCTGTTTTCATTTGTTCTCGTCGTTGTGGTCGTTCTCCATCTCTTGTATGGTTTTCTGTGTGTGACATCCAGGAGAGGTAGATCTGTAGAGTCCGTGAACTGGGTTAATGGTTTCTTAAGGGTTATGGCGCATGGTCATCGAGTCAGTTGTGATGCATAATGACCCTATAGGACAGAGTAGAACCGCCCCCTGTGGGTTTCTGAGACTGTAAAATCTTAGTGGGAACAGAAAACCCCATCTTTCTCCAGCAGAGGGGCTGGTGGTTTCAAAGTGCTGGCTTTGTGGTGAGCACCCCAGTACGTAACCCCTACGCCAGCAGCTCCTGCCTGGGCACAGTGGTTGCCACAGTTGACGGCGAACTAAAACCAATGCATGAATAATATGGTGCAGAGCCGGGCAGCATTTCATTCCACTGTACATAGGGTCACGATGAGTCAGAGCCACCTGGATGGCACCTAACAACCACACCACCAACAGGGCTGTGGCAGCAAAGGTTGGGAGGAAATGGGGGGTTAATAGTAGTGAGTACAAGATAGATGAAACGATGGTACAATTGATTGTGGTGATGGTTGCACAACTCTTTTTAATCTAACTAAACCATGGAATTGGATGATATGTGAATGATATATCAATAAAAGTGTTTTTAAAAAAAGATGTTCCCCCGATCTGGAGCAGGGAGCCCATTTTTTTTTTTTCTTTTCCCGGTTAATGTTCTCTCTGTGGAGCCTCCCCCACCCCCGGAGGAAATGGTGCGAGTCCTTTGTAAGTAACAAAAGTGTCCCGTCTGTGTCCACACATATTGAGGGTCAAATGAATGAATACATCAACAAAGGAATGAATAATGAACAAGCAACAGTGGACTCTGGAGCCTGGGGTGCTGAATGGGTCCCCTCAACTCTGCTCAAAATGGGATGCAGTCTCTTTTCTCAAACTGCCGTTGTTTCCAGAGACAGTCTCTTGTTGGCATCTGTCGCTGTGAGCCCCGTGGAGCCCCGAGGGACTGCAGAGCCTCCCATGGGGGGCTCTCCTGGTAGCACATTGATGAGAGAGGGAATTGAAATTCAGGAAAGGTTCACCTGGGAGTACACAGCTCAGGGAGCGGAGTCTGGAGAGCTCAGCCCAGGTGCC